CATTGAGTTTTTAAGTTGGTTTATTGCTTCCTGCATTTCTAGGATTTCTGTTTGTTTGTTTTTTATAACCTCTATCTCCCTGTATAGTTGATCCTTTGCTTCCTGGATTTGTTTGCGTAATTCATTGTCGAAGTGATCTTTCATTGTCTGATTTTGCTGTTTAATGTCTTCCTTGATACTCCAGATCATCTGAAGCATGTATATCCTGAATTCTTTATCTGACATTCCATCTGCTGCAGCTGTTACCTCTTCTAAAGTTGCGTTGACCTGCATTGCTTGTGGTCCTTTCTTTCCTTGTCTTTTCATACTGCTTGCGTATCTTTCCTGCAGGCGTGGGCGGCGGCTCTGCTCTCTCCTTATTCCAATTGGGGTGTCGTGGCTACCACGCCGGCAGGTCACTGGGACTGTTCTGGGCGCTGGCGGCGGCTCTGTTCTGCCCCTACTCCAATTGGGGTGACGAGTGTACCACGCCGGCAGGCCACCGGGCCTGATCCGCCGGTCGGTTGCAGGTTTGCCTACCCTGCAGGCGCGGGCGGCGGCTCTACTCTGCCCCTACTCCAAATGGGGTGAAGTGTCTGTCGTACCGGCAGGCCACTGGGCCTGTCCCGCTGGTCGGTCGCAGATCTGCCCACCTTTCGGGCACGGGTGGAGGCTCTGCTCTGCCCCTACTCCAATTGGGGTGTCGTGACTATCCCGCCTGCCGGACGCTGGGCCTGTTCCTGGAACGGGCGGCGACTCTGCTCTGCCCCTACTCCAATTAGGGTGGTGTGTGTACCACGCCGGCAGGCTCCTGGGCCTGATCCGCCGGTCTGTTGCAGGTCTGCCTACCTTGGAGGCGCGGGCGGCGGATCTGCCCTGCCCCTTCTACCACGCCTGCGGACCCCTGGGCCTGATCTGCAGGTTGGTCACAGGTCTGCTCACCCTGCGGGCACGGGTGGCGGTTCCGCTCCGCCCCCACTCCAATTGGGGTCACATGACCACCACACCGGCAGGGCCTGATCCGGGCGTGGGAGAAGGATCTGCTCTGCCCCTACTCCAGTTGGGGTGACGTGTGTACCACACTGGCAGGCCACTGGGCCTGACCCGCCAGGCTGTCACAGGTCTGTCTAACTGCTCATTTATAATCTACTATGAAATCCCAAGATAAGTCTTCTAAATTTTTAACACTGTAGAGTTGTTTTTATGTTTCTTTTGTTACATCACAAGAAAAAGATAACATAGAAACAAAAGTACTCAAAGGACAACAGGCTCAAAATGCCTGCATTTTTCAGAGTATAAAATTTTTCTTTAAGGAAAAAAAATTGCATCCTTTGAGCCTGTAACACACAGTTATCTAGGTCAACTTTGTCATTTATCTACCACATTGAGACAATGAAACAACCACAGGGTAATTCTGCCCTCGCCACAGTAAGAATGAAGGTAAGTGAGAGTACTTGGCAGGGATAAGATATGACAGCCACGGGGATGATGCCTTGTTATAAAATAAAATGGACAAGTTCTTTTTTTTTTTTTATTTTTTATTGTTGGTTGTTCAAAACATTACAAATTTCTTGACATATCATATTCCACACTTTGATTCAAGTGGGTTATGAACTCCCACCTTCACCCCATACACAGATTGCAGAATCACATCAGTTACACATCCATTGATTTACATACTGCCATACTAGTGTCTGTTGTGCTCCGCTGCCTTTCCCATCCTCCACCATCCCCCCTCCCCACCTCTCCCCTCCCCTCCCCTCCTCTCTCTCTACCCCCTCCACTGTATAACCCTGAGGGTCTCCTTCCATTTCCAAGCAATTTCCCTTTTCTCTCCCTTTCCCTCCCACCTCTCATCCCTGTTAAATGTTAATCTTCTTCTCATGCTCTTCATCCCTACTCTGATCTTAGTTACTCTCCTTATATCAAAGAAGACATTTGGCATTTGTTTTTTAGGGATTGGCTAGCTTCACTTAGCATAATCTGCTCTAATGCCATCCATTTCCCTGCAAATTCTATGATTTTGTCATTTTTTAATGCAGAGTAATACTCCATTGTGTATAAATGCCACATTTTTTTTATCCATTCGTCTATTGAAGGGCATCTAGGTCGGTTCCACAGTCTTGCTATTGTGAATTGTGCTGCTATGAACATCGATGTAGCAGTGTCCCTGTAGCATGCTCTTTTTAGGTCTTTAGGGAATAGACCAAGAAGGGGAATAGCTGGGTCAAATGGTGGCTCCATTCCCAGCTTTCCAAGAAATCTCCATACTGCTTTCCAAATTGGCCGCACCAATTTGCAGTCCCACCAGCAATGTACAAGTGTACCCTTTTCCCCACATCCTCGCCAGCACTTGTTGTTGTTTGACTTCATAATGGCTGCCAATCTTACTGGAGTGAGATGGTATCTTAGGGTGGTTTTGATTTGCATTTCTCTGACAGCTAGAGATGGTGAGCATTTTTTCATGTACTTGTTGATTGACTGTATGTCCTCCTCTGAGAAGTGTCTGTTCAGGTCCTTGGCCCATTTGTTGATTGGGTTGTTTGTTCTCTTATTGTCTAATTTTTTGAGTTCTTTGTATACTCTGGATATTAGGGCTCTATCTGAAGTGTGAGGAGTAAAGATTTGTTCCCAGGGTGTAGGCTCCCTATTTACCTCTCTTATTGTTTCTTTTGCTGGACAAGTTCTTGCAGAGGCTTGATTGGGCAATACTGAGGAAAGTGAAAGACAACCAGGAAAACAGGCACCTCTGCACGCTGTCTCCTCAGCACCCAGCCACTTGCTCCTCCAGTGCACATTCAGACTTAAAAAGACCCAAATGTCTATTCACATAGCAGCTAAACTTGTGAAGCCAGGAAAGTAGCTAAGCCACCCCTATACTTGCCTTCTGTCAGAAGGGGCACAGCACAAACTGTCCCTCCTTTCATGAAACACTCACCCCAGTGTTTCTGTATTTTGCCAAATACAAACCCTTCATCTGGACAGTAGATGGGTGAAATGCCATAACAAGCAACAACTTGATTTCTTTTTTAAATTAGTATTAAGCTCAAAGATTTTCAGTAACCCATTTAAAAAAGTTATCTCAATTTCAAATGAAGACTGTATCATTTTTATTGCATCAGTATCTAAAAATATGACAAGCCCTCTTCCTTTCAGCTGACTCTGAAAAGACAAACAGAGAGGGAATACTGTCCAGTTACACACAGTTTCTAGAAATTCTCTCTCAAATGAGAATAAGAATACCTCACAGCATGGAAGCCTGTCTCATTCTTGAAGAGTTTTCCTTCAATCAAACCAGAAAAGAGCATGGGTAAACCAGGTAAGGGCATAGGTGCCAAAGAAAACCAAAAGTCAGACTCCATCAGATGTAGAATCTACACTGTGCTCACTATAGCACAGAAATTGGGACAACTGTCCAACGTACTACTAAGCTAGAAACAGCAGCTAAAGCAGACATCCAGTTAAAAAAAAAAAAAAATCCAACCATCTTGCAAACCTCCAGAGGTGTTCCTGAACCTGCTGATGCTCTACCTGCATAACTGAAAGTGAAGCCAAAAAACTGACGCTTCTCTAAACCTTCCTTTAGTGTCAGTATTACATCAGGCAGTGTGCACTACATCTCAGTATGTGCCACTTGGTGTTAAAAAACATATACTCATCTGCTTGCAGCACTAAAGAAGTAGTATGTGAAGTCTCTATTCATGCCACCAGTATCACCAATGCTGGGCAGTGGAAATCACCAAATCATGAGGAAAAAATGACAGATCAGAAGCTATAAATAAGAGAATATGGCTAAGTCTTAAAAATAAAATGTTAAAGAGAAGGGATGTATTTAAGATTAAAAATTATCTAATTTTAATGAACTAAAAATATGGCTTATTAGCTCCAAACTTTTTATTAAGGAAATTTCCAAACAAAGAGATGCTAAACGGGAAATACCATGGGTACTCTAATAGATTTAATAATATTTGTTTCTCAGTATCTGAGGGGTACTTGTTCCAGAAATCCCTGCAGATGCTTAAGTTTCTTAAATAAAATGGTATGGAATTTGCATGTAACTTATGTACATCCTTTAGTTCACTTTAAATCATCTCCAGGTTACTTATAATACCTCATATAGTATAACTGCTACTAAGGAGTTGTTAAACTATATAATTAAGGGAATTTTTTTAAAAGTCTATACATGTTGAGTACAGATGCAATTTTTTAAAATATTGTTGATCCGCAGATGATTGAATCCACATTATATATACATCTCCAGAATATTTTAACTACATATGTATGAATAAATGCATACATTTAAAAATGTAAATAGGTAACATTTGGAAAAATGTAGATATAATGACACTAAACCCCAACAACTCCTAAGGATATTCCCATACCTAAGAAGACATGCTCAAGAGTTCTGCCATGTCATTAAGACTTAATTGCCAAAAGAAAACACTGTAACCATTTCATCTAGTAGTCAAGACTTTCAATGAACTCTACCTTAAACAACTACCCCAGCTTCCTCTCCCATAAGTCTCCCATGCATATTCAAATCAGGGAAAACCATGCCTTCAGTGCTAGGGTCCACACTTTCCCATCTGAGCATCTCACTATTCTCTCTGCAGATCAATCTCCTTCTCCCTAGTTTCTGTAAACCCCTCTCACTCCCACAGCATGAAGCAACTGCTCCTTATCTTTCCATTTGCTAATTAAAAGAGTGGTTTGTAAACATTCCTTGGTGCAGTCTAGGAAAAAGGCGATTTCTTCCCCACCTTTTCACTGCTGATAGCATTTCCCATGGTTTGTAGAAGATACTCTGTAAATCACTGTTAAATACATCAATAAAAAAATCTCAATTTTATATGTCAACAAAAAGTTATATATGAATGGAATAGAATTGTGTTTTATCATATTACAAATCTTTTCATGTAGATACTCCATCTCCATTTCTTAAAAATCAAACCACTTGCTTAGTTTACTGACAAACAGTATGCATAAAACAATCTTTGAAAAAAACTGTAAAATGTACTTACCCTTTCATTATTGTAGTAAGAAATGCTAAGGCCATCAAATTTCACCCATCTCTTCTGAAACATGCGTTTTCTGTAAAACACATGAAATTTTTATTTACATTTAAGTAGCATGAACTTGGATTTTTAAATACATTTGTAGTGTAGCTATGCTGAGTGCAATCCATCTCTACTGTTGAGCAGTGTATACAAAAATAGGCTATGATAGTACAGTTTGGGCAACGGAACATAGAATCAACAAATGTATAACAACACTTTCTAATTAGCTGACATAGCTTTTTTTTTTAATGATAATGTTAAGTGCAAAACCAAGTGTAGTCACAAACATTATCATCAAAACCACTTCCATCAATGGAGATAATCTTTAAATGAAGGTAATACATAAAACTTTCATCTCTCATATAGCTTATACACTTATTTTGCCTTGATTTTTGCTTTGGTGGATGAATAATAGTTTGCAAAACTAGCAAAGCCTTCTTACCTGAATTTACATAAATTATTATATTTTGACTAAATACGATAGGGAAAGCCCTGTCAAAAAATAATCATTTACAGTCACTCAAAATTCAGTGAAACTTCTGTATTTTTCAAAAGAGGATCATATGAAAGGCAGATGCAATTTTAAAATGGTTTTTGATGTGAGAAAACAAAGGCAAAATAATAAATAACATTTCCTATTTAGGTTTAAAAAAACATATTTTTCTTACTTTAAATGAGGGGTATAAAGAACTACTTCTGCTTAGGTTTGTCTTTTGTTTTGCTTATTTCCTTTCCCTTAAGTCAGACAATCCACAGACTGTGAATATCCTGTTCTCTACAGGCTTTTAGTCTGGACTAATACCATACAGATACTTTCAGCTTTTAACACAGACACCATATGGAAACTAACTTCCTGTTTTTAAAAAAGTCATTTCTAAGTGAATATGTAAACATCAACCATATATACTGTCTCTCCTTTTGCTCTTTTCTGACACATTTCATACAAGGTGATATAATTTCCTGTGGCTTTCAGAAGATTTAAAGATAGAAAGAGAACTTCCGGGCATCTGGAAAGTTTGTCTTCCGGCTGTGTCCCTGCTACACGTCCATTACTCAAGTGAAGCACAACAAGTCTCCTTAGTTAGCAGACATGTGCCACTCCAGATCAAATTAGACCAACTCTGATGAAATGGAGAAAACGTCTTAATTCATCAGTGCAGATGAGTTTCACATGTAAGCACTGAACCTTGAAGTAGTAAGAACACATAAGGAACTTAACATCAGACAACCACACTGCCCACCCAGCCCACTTTCTACCTTATTCCCTCATCTTCTTGCTGCTTAACTTCTCTTGGCCTGTCATGTGTTTTTGTCACATTGCAACATCCAACTGTGTTACAGACATCTGAGTTTTACTTCTGCTAGCAACCCGAGGGTTCTTCAAATTCCCAGCATTAAAAATTAAAAGGTAAAGAATATTAAGCAAACACACAATTATATATTGCATAATTAATCACTCTGCACTCAGTTCTTGTTTCTCTCTGCTATACTTAAAAGGCAGGTAACTATACAACTTCCTATACAATACCAACAGTAACTTGGAAAATCAAGATTTTGATTGGGGCCTCCACCCACCTTACAAACAGTGGTTAAGTTAGAGCTCAGTAGCATATATCATCTTTCATTTGAACATCAAAATGGTCAAAATCTGTGGAGGAGATAAGACCTTGGGGTCTTTCATTACCCTTCCCCTTCCCTTTGCTAACTTTTTATGTTTCTAATTGCACCTAAACTATCCACACAGAAATGCCTTCCCTCGTGACTCAATCCAAAGCAGATCTCAAAGCTATTCTCTCAAAGCACCTTCTACCTTTCCTCTAGCTCTCAACACAAATTCGATCATATGTATTAGCTCACTTGATTAATGTCAGTCTTAACACTCGTCTTTATGCCTTGCAAGGATCCACTTCAAGAATGTTTTCTTCTCCATGATCAACAACTAACACACAGATAAATATGGCACTCCAGGAGAATATACTGAATGAATAAGAATGCAATCAAAGCATAGTCCTTTAAGAAACATGGGCAGGATGATATGAAAAGAATACCTAAACACCCAGCACTCATAAATAATTAGCATCTTTCAACATTTCAGGAAAGACAGAGAAACTTCTGAAAACTCAGAATAAAATTAAATGTGCAAAAGTATCAAGCAAAGAAGTTCAGAAACTTAACATGTCTTACTTAGCAGTCTTTTAATTGGACTCATAAAGCTTTCTATCCACAGTGTGAGCTTGAGGTCTGAGGCATCATCTAAGAATCTAACCTCAGAAGAATGAGGAAAGTAAAAAGGAAGACAGCGCAGTATTTATTGGGCTTTGGGGTCAAAATCGCTACTATTTATGAGCTGCATCTCCTTCTCAGGCACTATAATGTAAAGGACGCACTTTACCTTGGCTCTTGACACTGCTTTTGGTTTGTATGTTTTGAGATGAGATGTTGGTATATTGCACAGGGTGACCTGAACTCTCGATCCTCCCAGCTCAGCCTCCTGAGTAGCTGGGAATATAAACATGCACCATTTTGTCTAGCTACGTTTGGCTCTTTGAGAAAAGCCCAAGAAAACTTCAGTTTTCTAAAAGAGTCTTAGCTCCTAAATCACTGTTCCAACCAGGTACCAGTAACCATAGTTACTGCCAGGTAACTATTTGACATGCCCATCCATTTTAAACTCAATATTTGTACAAGTTATTAAATATGTCTAGTAATCTGTGATGGGATAGGTAAATAAGACAAATGCCAGCCCCTAGAAATGCAATGAGAAACATATGGAAAATAGTTGTAAGAATCACCCTTCTGTAGTTGGGGGTGCTATGTTGCAATTCTACCATCAAACTGTTACTTCTGCATTCATTCATCCAGTCAGCCATCAGAATCTGCCACTTCCTCTGTAGATGGTATCTGCTCACATGGCCTCTATGTCTAGACCTTTCTTGCCTGGTGCACTTCCCATAAACCATTTTCTCTGCTCAAAATTCCCTTCCAACTGTGAACATGGGAGGCACCTTCTAACCATCAAGTTTTCAGTTTAAAAGTTATTTGCTCCAAATGATCATCCATGACCAACACAGTTGCTCAGGCCCCCTTTTTTTTCTTTTCCATTTCTTTACTTAATGACACTTACCATTAAAATTTGAATTGAGTGCAGAAACCATTTGTTTTGTTTATCTGTGTAAAATCTGTGATTACCATACTTCCTGGCATATAAAACATACTTAATATTTATTATAATGATTACAAAATAGATGATGAATACATTTTTCATTGAAAAAAGGCTTACTCAAAATCGCACTTTGTAAATATAGAGAAAAAGGGTACTAAAATATTTTGCCATTTGTTTTTTTACTAAATACTAAAGATCAAGGTTTTCTAATGACAAAATAAAAATTTTCTAAACCTATCTTGTTATTAATGAAAAAAGTGAGAACCTATAGGAAGCTTGAATTTCGACATTAGTTTTGAAGTAATTTTAAAATGCATTTTAGACTTTAAAAAAAAATTTAAACAATCTTTCCCCAATACATCTATTCCTCAGTCCCTGATACTATTCTGCTGTTTTTATAAGTTCAACATTTTAGAATATAAATATAGTGATATTGGTTAATACATACTATTACTCCTCATCATTAAGTGTTTTAAGAGTATTCTCTGAACTAGGTTATGCCTTTCCTTTAAATTTTATTTAACGGCTTAATTTTTTTCACCATTTTAAAAAAATGATAATATATAAAGACATTGTCACCTTAGTCTAAGTTCCTACTATTACACAACACAAACTTGATCTGAAATAATGATGCATTATTACAGAGAAGAGATTTTAAATTTTCAATTATAAGTTCTGAGTATCTAATGTACATTATGATGACTATAAATAATGATACATCTTATACTTGAAATCTACTAGCAGTATACTTCTTAGTCAGCTGTGGTGGCACACACCTGTAATCACAGCAACTCAGAAAGCTAAGGCAGGAAGATTCCAAGTTTTGAGACCAACCTCAGCAACTTAGCAAGCCCCTAATAATTTAGTAAAACTCTGTCTCAAAAGAAAACATGAAAAAAGGGTTGGGGATGTGGCTCAGTGGTAAAAAAAAAAAAAAAAACCTTGGGTTTAATTCCTTGTACCAAAAAAAAACAAAAAAAAAAAAAAAGAAGAAGAAGAAGAAAATAGACCTTAAGTGGTCTCACCCAAAAATGGAAGAATAACTCTGGGAAACATGTTAATTGTCTTGTGTGTGGTAATCATTTCACCATGTATAATATGTGCATCAAATCTTTGCACTACACTTTTCAAATATACACAATCTTTGTCAAACATATTTCCATAAATCTGGGGAAAAAATTTACAAGTATTCATACTGTATACATTGGTACTTTCCTATTTTAAAATGCACTATAACCCATTTAAGATTTATCTAAAAGTAATTAATGTAAACATTGAGTAATCTGTATTGTTCATTAAATATGTCAACTTTTAAACAGCTATTTTCTACAAGTGAACTTCAGTGCTGAATTCTAATAATTAGTGGATTAAAGATAAGAGCTTATACTTACATCCTTTCTCAAAGTATTATCCCCCTTTTTAGCAAATAGAAATTTGGATTTAATGTTGGTAAATCCTATAAATTAACCAAAACTTCAACTAAGTAATAAAAAGAAGAGTTTGAGAAGTTCTCTGCTTCTAAATTCCAAAGTAAAATTTTTATTTTAAAAACTATTAGTGAACACTAAATTTTTTTGCATCACAATTATTATTATACATAAAGAACAATTTTCATACCTCTGTTTATATATAAAGTATGTTCACATCAATTCATGTCTTCATACATGTACTTTGGATAACGACGTCTAAATTTTTAAAATCAACATTTCTGTTAACTATTTCTGTTAACTATTCATGAATTTATGAAAGTCTACTCATTATTAGTCCATCAATTCCATAGGAATTATCTCTGATTGATAAGTAAACTATGAGGTATAGTTCAAATATTTTAACTTTTCTCTGAAATTATACCTTTTCATTAAATTTTATTT